TCCCTCGCTCACAAGTTCTGGTCTTTATTGCCCGACGTTATGGAATGCTACCAAGAGAATCCGACCCACCACGCCACTCGAAATGGGAATGTGGTTAGCGTATCCAGGATCGACCGTATTTATACCAATATGTTCACTGGGGATCTCCTGGATTTGAAACCGACCTCTGGGACCTCCTGGAATATCTGTAAAGCCGACCTCCCGAGTGACCACGCACCGGTGTACCTGCATCTGAACGGGGGCGGAGACAACCGCGCTCGGGCCGTCGCCCCGTGGGTCTCTCGTCACCCTCTGTATCCGATCCTGCTCGAAAAGCTGATCAACGAGCACGGGGTATGCGAAGATAATCCGCCGCTGATGGTTGAAGAACTCACGTGTCTTATGCACGAAGCAGGCCGTCTCGTTCAGCATCGCCTTTCTGAGCTTCCGCCCTACTCCGCCGAGCAGCATTTGCAGTGGCTGTTCGCGGTGAGTCGCGCCATGCGGAGTCACAGGATCAGCGCGCTAAAGAAGGCTGTCAAGGCCATCCCCGTGCTGCTCAACTTTCTCGACCCTGACAGTGGCAGGTGGCACAGCCAGTCAGCCTTTCAAGAGTGTATGGCCAAGATTGCTGCCGCTCGGTACCAAAAAGAATATGAGGAAATCATCGGACATACCACGGAATCCCCCCAGTTTTATGAGCGCCGAGCTGCGCGTCTTCAGAGCTTGGCATCGGCCTGGTCTCCGAAGAATCGGAGAAGATTCCTCGCGGGCATCGCGGATGCCGATGGGAACGCTTTCCCGACTGCTGAGGCTCTGGCTCATGCTCTCGCCGCTCACTGGAGCCAAGTTCACGCCTCTGTTTCATCTCAAATTGCCGCGAGGGACCAGCTAGAGGAACATATTCAAAAGTGAGGGAGGCCCAGATTTGGAGGCTTTCTGAAGAGCAGTTTTACGGAGTTTTGGATCGGCTTCACGATTCCGCCCCTGGCCCTGACGGGCCATGTTACTCTGCCTGGTCCAAAGGAAATTTATTCTCTAGGTGGGCCGCCTTCGCCGCGTGCCAGCATATCATGGTTTTTGGCCAGGTTTCGGGCGATTTCAACCTCAGCAACTCGGTCTTCCTTCCCAGAGGTTCCCTGGACCGCGACGGGTTCGAGCTCTGGGGGCCCCCTGAAATGACCCGTCCCATCTCCCTCTCCAACCCGATCAACGAAATTGTCGCTGTCGCGATCAACTGCCGCCTGAAAAAGGTTTGCGTGGACACCACTATTGGGGTCCAAAGGGGATCCAAAGGGGCTGATTGAGTTTGAGACGCACATGGTCGTAGGAGCAGGCCTTCTGTGGCGACAGACTGCAGGCGCTATCCTGCTGGACATTAAGGCCGCCTTCCCCAGTTTATGCCACGATTGGAAATTTTCGTATTCGAGAAAATGAATTTCCCCGAGTTTGTGCTGAATGCGATAAAGACCCTCTATGCCAAGGTTACAACCGCCATTCTCCTGGGCGGGGTGTCTCACTGCTCTTTTCGGATCCTCCGCGGGATAACGCAAGGATGTCCACTCTCGGGAAGCGTGTTCGCCCTGGGGTTCGATCCGATTTTGCGCTTGCTCTGTCTTCGGCTGCCCCGTCCTGTCCACTTGCACGGCGCCTTCGCCAGCGATGTTGCCTCCGCCGCCTTTGACATCTACGCGGCCGTGCCTATTTTCATGAAAGTTATGATGCTTGCAGGGCTCGCCGCTGGCCTCATCCCGAACCTCAAAAAAACGGTGATATTATTTTACGGCGACTTTAACAGGGGGGGGGGGGAGAGGAAGTTCCAACAGCAGGGGATCAGGGTTCGGAGCTTCGGGATGTCCAAGTGCGCCGAGTATCTTGGAGTGATGTGTGGGATCAGGGCCCAAGAGGAATCTTGGGCCGCCCCATTGGTCAAGTTCCGCGACCGCTGCCGCTTCATTAAGTCTTTGAAGTTAGGCCTTTCGATGTCTCTCGTGGCGTACAACCAGATAGCAGTCACTATGCCCATGTACATCGCCCAGTTCTTTCCGCCCACGGCCGACTGCTACTGGCAAGTGCATCTCGGTCTGCAGTCTTTAACATGTGCTCCTCGGCATGCCCTTTCTGATCACATGCTGGTGGGAATGAAGTCCCTCGGGGGAAAGCTATCTCGGGCCAGGTCTCTCACACGCGAAGCTCGTGCCGCTGCATATCGTGCTACCCTCGCCTCGTCGGTCTCTTTCGCCTGCATCGAGAACATTGAGGACGCGTTCGATGACCCCGAATGCCACCTGGATGCTCATCTTCATCCCGTTTATACCAAGTCTTTCGTTTTAGTGATGGCCCAGAACTATCGCGAGTTATCCAGAATCCCGTCCGCCCCCGCCGTCTTCGAGCATGGGCTTCAGAAGAAAATGACCAAGCTTGTTCTCTCCCATCAGCCCCTGGTTCCGTTTCCTGAGCTTATTCAGAGGCGTCTCCAGTGCTGGGCCTCGAGGTTTCCTGAAGTTGGCCAAGTTGGGGC